TTCTTCAAATAATTTTTGCTTCTTTCACTCTCTTCTCCTTCTGGAACTCCCACAGTACATATGTAGGTCCACGTAATGGTGGGCCCTTTTAGGCTCTGTTCACTCTTCTTTAAAAAATCTTTTTTCTTGGGCAGCACTTGTGACTCAAAGGAGTAGGGTGCCAACCCCATATACCAGAGGTGGTAGGTTCAAACCAAATAATTTCAATTGTCCTACCTTCAAGTTCACTGATTCATTTTTCAGCCTGCTCAAGTCTGTCTTTGAATCCTTCTAAAGAATTTTTCATTTCAGATATTATACTTTTCAGCTCAAGAATTTTAAAATTTCTTTATAGGTATTCCATGTCTTTACTAATATTAGTACTTTGTTCATACATCATTTTCTTGACTTTCTCTACCTCTTCCTTTAGTTTAGAACTTTTTTTTTTTGAGACAGAGCCTCAGGCTGTCCCCCTGGGTAGAGTTCTGTGGCATCACTGCTCACAGCAACCTCCAACTCCTGGGCTCAAGCAAGTCTCCTGCCTCAGCCTCCCAAGTAGCTGGGACCACAGGCGCCTGCCACAATGCCTGGCTATTTTTTGGTTGCAGTTGTCATTGTTGTTTTGGTGGGCCCAGGCTTGATTTGAACCTGCCACATTAGGTGTATGTGGCTGGCACCTTAGCCACTTGAGCCACAGGCACCGGGCCTAGTTTAGAACTTTTAAAACAGTTGATTTAAAGTCTTTATCTTATACGTCTGCCATCTTGTCTTTCTCAGGGAAAGATCTTTACCTTTTCCTTTGAATGGGGCATGCTTCCCTATTTCTTTACATGTTTTGTGATATTTTTCTTGTCATTGAAAACTGAATGTTTGAATAAAATAATGTGGTAACTCTGGAAATCAGATTTTTAAGTAACAATTAAGTTAATGTAGGCCAGGGGTGTCTAACCTGTGGCCCATTGGCTGCATGCTGATTTTGTGAGGACTTTTTTTTCTTATATCTGGTGTAAAATATCAGGAAAAGTATGCATAGACTGGGAGTTTTTTTGTTTTTGTTTTTGTTTCTTTTGCTAATTAACTTTCTTTAGTGTTTGTGTATTTAATGTGTGGTCCAAGACAACTCTTTTCTATTTGTTTGTTTTTGTTTATTGAGACAGTCTTACCTTGTTGTCCTTAGTAGAGCACCATGGCATCACAGCTCACAGCAACCTCATAGAGTGCCGTGGTGTCATAGTTCACAGCAACCTCAAACTCTTGGGCTCAAGTGATCCTATTGCCTCAGCCTCCCGAGTAGCTGGGACCACAGGTACCTGCCACAATGTCTGGCTATTTTTAGAGATAGGGTCTCACTCTGGCTCAGGCTGGTCTCAAACTCATGAACTCAGACGATCCACCTGTCTCAGCCTCCCAAAGTGATAGGATTATAGGTGTTTGCCACCACACTCAGCCTCACTCAAGACAACTCCTATTCTTCTAATGTGCAGAAGAGAAAAAAAAAGGTTGGATACCCCTGAGTAGGCTGTCTATATGCTGAGGTTCAGCCTGAGGTATAAACTCATAATCTTCTCAGGTCTTTTACAAGCCTTCATCTTTCTCTGGGCATACACAATGACTTCCTAACTTCCCCATATGTGTAGTTGCTTTTGAATGTCCTAGTCCAGTGGTTCTCAACCTTCCTAATGCTGCAAACCTTTAATACAGTACCTGTGGGTTATGACTCACAGGTTCAGAACAGCTGTTCTAGTCTTTAATGTCTGGCTCTCAAAGGGGGAAGGATGAAAGAGGGGGAATAGTGTTGGCCCTTTAAGTCCCCTGGAAGTCACTTCATTTAGAGGGAGAAGAGTTTGCAAACATTGGGAAGGTATGTCTGCAACTTTGTGATCAGAAGCAGAAATCAGTAATCAGAACACAGATCCAAGTATTTGAAGGATAAGGTCCCTACTGACTATCCAGGCTCTACAAACTGCCTGTAGGCTGTTCCAGGAACAGGTGCACAGTTGCCTGACACACTGTTGAGGGTGTATGATGGGTAAATGCTACTAACCTAAAAGTTGAAATTGATGAAATTTAACCACAAGTTACCTTTGAAGCTTCTCCCTGGAAGTTAAAAGCCTTTAGTAAACTCCAAACTTCCAAATATTAAATAGTTATGCAAGACAGAGTCTGCCTGTATGACTGCTGCATAAGTAAGCAGACAGATTTCTGGAGCTTTAGGCTGCCATCCTTCCAGAATCTCTCTCTTCACGGTCATTTTTGAAAGACATTTTTCGTGGGTATTAAATTCTAGGCTAACAGGATTTTTTTCTTTGAGTTTAAAAATATTGCCCCACTAGAACAGGAAATCTGATTCTTATCTCTGTGCTTCTGTACATTATGCATCCTTTAGTTATGACTGCTTTTAAAATCTATTCACTATCAAAGCAATTTTGGTTATAATGTGCTTTAATGTAGTCTTCTTCATATTTCTTCTGTTGGGATTTGTTGAGTTTTTGAGATCGGTGGACCTATAGTTTTTATAAACTTTGGAAAATTTTCAGCCATTATGTCTCCAAATAATTTGTTTCCTCTCTTCTTCTGGAATGTGAATTACACATATACTAGAGCTGCTTAAAGGCTTCCAGCTTGCTGATACTTACTCCTTTTTTTCCTGTGTGCTTTGTTTTAGATTGTTTCTATTGCTGTCTTCAAGTATAATCTTTTCTTTTGTAGAGTCTAATTTGTTGTTTATTCCATCCAGAGTTTTTCTTTATTAATAGTTCTCCTGGCTCGGCGCCTGTGGCTCAAGTGGCTAAGGCACCAGCCACATACACCTAAGGTGGCAGTTTCGAATCCAGCCCGAGCCCGCCAAACAACAATGACAGCTGCAACCAAAAAATAGCCGGGCATTGTGGTGGATGCCTATGGTCCCAGCTACTTGGGAGGCTGAGGCAGGAGACTCGCTTGAGCCCAGGAGTTGGAGGTTGCTGTGAGCTGTGATGCCACAGCACTCTACCCATGGGGACAGCTTGAGGCTCTGTCTCAAAAAAGAAAAACAAAAATAGTTCTCCTGAACATTTCTGTTTCTCTCTACCTTCTTGAAAATATGGAATATATTGATAATCTAGGCAGTCCCTTGTTATGAACGAGATAGGTTCTATAGGTCTGGTCTTAAGTTAGATTTGTGTATAAATTGGAACAGGTACATTTTCCTATTATCTGTAATAGCCTCCATTTGTAAGTGCAAGTTGTATGTAAGTCAGATGTTTGTAACGTGGGGACTGCCTGTAAGTACTTGTCTACTAATACTGTCTTTGTGTCATTTCTGGGTATGTTTTGCTGACTGGGCCTTATTTTTACAGGTCATATTTGCTGCTTCTTTACATGCCTGGTATTATCATTAGATGCTATACATTTTGAATTTTACATTATTGAGTGCTCGAAATTTTTAGCCTTCCTTTAGATATTTTTCTGCTTTGATCTAAGTTACTTGGAAATAGTTTGACCTTGTGAGTGTCTTGCTTCTTAAGCTTTGTTAGTGGAGGCCAGAACAGCCTTTAATCTAGGGCCTACATGCTAAAGCAGTGTACTTTTAAGTATTCAGCCTCATGCTCTTTATTTAAGGATTCTCCATTCTAGCTATTGGGAATGTGAGGGTTATTCCACTTCTTTCTGGTAGTTCTCTTCTTGGCCTTCAGTCATTTTCTCACTTGCACGCATACCTCAGCACACTGCATGTCTCTGGGGCTCACTTCCTCTCTATACAGCTTTTTCTTCTCTGGAAAAAAATTCTCCTTCCTTTACTTCCCCAAGTTATTGCTGTGATCTGAGCAAGAATACTGAGATTTATTTTTAAGCTGAGTATCTCTGTGAACTCTAAATACTACACCAAAAATATTGGCCAAATGGGACCAGTGGTTCACTTGGAGCATGACATGAACATTTATTTTCCAAAGAAGGAGGAGGGGAACTGACACCTAGACCAAATTACTACCATAGGTTATATAAGTTAAAAAACACAGATGCTAAAGGAATGCCATATGAAAGACTAAGAGCAAACTTGGACAGTTTCTGAGGATGTTTCCTAGACCAGCATGTTCACAACAATGTTGTGATATGGTGATGTGGTCCATGAAATCCTGAGTTCAAGTTGAACATTCATTTCCCTCAAAGCAGAGTCCCAGACCCAGAGACCCAGACCATGGCCCATGTCCAGGTTCCCAGAAGACTAGGAGAAGTCATCAGTCATATCTTCAACCTGGAGGAGGCATATCTGGCTGGTGTGGTGGGCAGTGAGGTGCTGAAACTGAACAGGAAGTTCCTAGCTTCCCTACAAGGAACCCAAGGCATATCCATGGCATCTGTGGTAAGAGATGTTCCCTGGACAACAATAAGCAGCTCTGAAGAGGTCCCCAGGTACTCTCCCTTGTGGTTCCAAATACACATCTCAAAAACCAGAAATCCTTGGAGCCCCCCCACATTAAAACGCCCACTGAAAGTGAATTTATCTCAATTTAACCCAGAGGCTTAAATTTATTTTCTTCGTAAATTGCCAACACCATCCCTGGTCTGCCAAGATCTCACAGTGAAGCCTAGGGTGTCCACCCTTGTGAGCAAGCCCTGTCCTCAGAGACCCGTTAAGCATCTCATGTGCATTCAGAAACCGGCCCTTGAAAAACATGCTCTGGCACAGGTTTTCCACTCTTATAAACACTGGACACCTAAAACATTTCATAATAAAGTACCTTGGATTATCTAATCTGGTCTAGTGGTCCACTTAGCATGTTGATATTCTCTGACCTTCATTATAGTATTGCTACTACTGTGGTCAGGAGTCTACTTTGTGGGTCATGGCCAAGAAACACATTTTTCCTAACTTAAAACACCAGTATATTCCTTTGAAAATGTGAAGAGACAAATTATTTCTTAAGTTTTAAATTACTTCCTGGAAATGTTACAAAAGCCAGAATAGTTTTGATGAAGGCTTACCCATTCAAGAATAACACCATTTCTTTCTCTGTAAATTCTAAGGTATTATTTGTTACCTGATTTATTACTGCATAAATGCTTCCAAATTTATTTCCAGACCAATCATCATTTGGAACATTCACATTCAATTTAATCATTTGGTCAGTAGCACAGATCAGTGCAAAGCTCAAGAGGGCTTCAAAGAATTCCAGGAAAACAAGCTGAAATACAAGAAAACACAGAGGGTCTCATTCACTCTGGCACACCTGGAAGTGGACCAGTGATTGATTTGGTTGTTCACTTGTTATTAATTCATTATTTCCTGACATCTGAAATATCTACCTTTTCAACATGAATTGCTAGTTTCTAAATGCAATAATCAAGAATACACACATACACACACACACACACAAACATATGTATATGAAGGTCTGACAGTTAAGTTCATGAATTCATCCTAGAAAAAGCACTACATACCTCATTGCTGAATATGGTCACCTGTGAAGTACTTCCCTTGGGAAGTTATGCACCAATACCAGCACCTAGTCCACCCTTCAAAGAAATTTGGTACTCTTTTTCTAGAATGGCCATCAAAGCTGTCATCATATTACCCTTCATGCTCTGAATGTCATCAAAATTTATACACTGTTGTTTTCTTCATGGCATTATCCCCATAAACATGGGCTAATGCATCCCTGATTTCACTTCCACTCTTGCCAAGTTTAATAAGAAACTTATGTTTATTCATTGCTCTAATTCAAGCTCCAACATTCTGTGACAGCACATAAGAACATACAGCAATAATATGAACTGCCACTCAGCAAAATACCACCACATGTCAACATGAACACAACTGTGAATTGTTTGTACAGTGCTGCCAATGTAAATACACAGTGGCCAGTTTGCAAACTACATTGTCAGACTTCACATATAGAGAGAGATGTGTGTGTGTGTGTGTGTGTGTGTGCACGCGCGTGCGCGCACGCACGCATGCATGTGTATGTAATTTTATGAATCTGGGTTCACATTATTTTTTAATCAAATCTTGGTTCTTGATATCCATGGTGAAAACGAATAGTCTGAATCAAATCTGTACTATTTGTGATGACTCTTTACAAACCTCAAGTTCAAAATTGCTGTCAATTCCATCATATATGAAAGGATTATCCTCTGCTATTACTTCCACAAATTTTGTTGGTGTTAATTCTTTATTTATCATTTTAAAGTCCTGTAAAAAAAACAACAAACTGAACCATAATGGTCTGTAAGCAAAATCTGGCACTGTCATCCAGGCTGGACGGCAGTGGCATAATCAAATCTCATAGTAGCTCCAAACTCCTGGGTTCAACAATCCTCCTGCCTCAGCCTACTGAATAGCTAGGCCTATAAAGTGCATACCACCATGCCCAGCTAATTTTTCTACTTTTTATACAGATGGGGGTCTCATTATGTTGACCAGGCTAGACTTGAACTCCTGGCTCAAGTGAGCCTTCTACCTCAGCCTCCCAAAGTACTGGGATTACAGGTGTGAGCCACTGCACCCGGGCTGTATATTTTAATGTAAATTTATATCAATACAAAAATTTAAGAAAATGTACCAGAAATTAATAGCTTAAGAATAAATAATTTTGAAAAATATTATATATAATCCTTTATACATTCATATAAATGGTAAAGCATAACTATAGTCCAGAAAAGGAAAAGGAGGAAGGGGGAGGGGAGGGGGGAGGTTGAGAAGAGGGAGGGTATTTGGTATGACCTTATCTAATGTGCATAAAGCAATGGAACATTTCTTTCTTTCTTTTTTGTTTTTTTTTTTTTTTTTTGCAATGGTACATTTCAAAACTATTAAGAATAGAGTATAAATGTCTTACCACAACAAGTAAATGAGGAGATGGTTATGTTAATCAGTTTGATGTAAGCATTCCAGCACATTGTGAAATCAGCACATTGTACCCCATAAATGCATTAATGTACACAGTTATGATTTAATAAAGAAAAAATTAATTATACCTTTAAAAACAAAATTTATCTATGGATTTCTGTGTAAATGTCCAGGAGTGTGACTACTAGATGATAAGATTTTTAAGAAATTAAATTGTCAGGTGGTGCCTGTAGCTCAGTGAGTAGGGCACCGGCCCCATATACTGAGGGTGGCAGGTTCAAACCCGGCCCTGGCCAAACTGCAGCAAAAAAAAGCCAAGAGTTGTGGTGGGTGCCTGTAGTCCCAGCTACTTGGGAGGCTGAGGCAAGAGAATCGCCTTAAGCTGAGGAGTTGGAGGTTGCTATGAGCTGTGACACCACAGCACTCTACCAAGGGCAATAAAGTGAGACTCTGTCTCCTCAGAAAAAAATAATAATAAAAAATAAATTGTCAAACTAAAAAAAAAAAGTACTCTGGATTTATATTGGTATTTCCCTTTCTATCCCTCCCCAGACCCTCTAAAATAGTAGTATTTTCTCAGTGTAAGCACAGCACATAGAAAATGGGAGAGTAGGACCATGCCTGTGGCTCAGTGAGTAGGGTACCGGCCCCCTATACTGAGGGGGTTGGATTCAAACCCGCCCCAGCCAAACTGCAATAAAAAAAAAAAATAGCCAGGCGTTGTGGTGGGCTGGGTGCCTGTAGTCCCTGCTACTCAGGAGGCTGAGGCAAGAGAATCACCTAAGCCCGGGAGTTGGAGGTTGCTGTGAGCTGTGATGCCACAGCACTCTACTGAGGGTGACAAAGTAAGACTCTGTCTCTAAAAAAAAAAAAAGAAAGAAAGAAAATGAGAGAGTAGATAATCTAGTGTGAAATAATAACAAAACTCTATAGGCTGGGAGGTCAGGAGTTCAGGAGTCTAAGACCACCCTGAGCAACATAGTGAGAACTCATCTCTATAAAAATAGAAAAACTAGCCAGGCATGGTGGCACACATCTATAGTCCTGGTTACTTAGCAGCCTGAGGCAAGAGGATCACTTGAACCCAGGACTTTGAGGTTGCCGTGAGCTATGATGATGCCACTGCGCTCCAGGCCAGGAGACCAAGCCAAGACCTTTTCTCCAAAAAAAAAGAAATAATATTAATAGGCTGGGTGCGGTGGCTACCACCTGTAATCCTAGCACTCTAGAAGGCCAAGATGGCGGACTGCTTGAGCTCAGGAGTTTGAGACAGGTCTGAGCAAGAGTAAGACCCCGTGGTTGTTAAAAATAGAAAAACTAGCTGGGTGTGGTGGTGCATACTATAGTTCCAGCTACTTGGGAAGCCAAAGGAAAAGAATTGCTTAAGCCCAAGAGTTTGAGGTTGCTGTGAGCTAGGTTGATGCCATGGCACTCTACAAAAAAAAGTATCCTGAATGCAATCAGTGTAACCCAGTTTCTTGTACCTTCAATAAATCCCCAACAATTAAAAAAAAAAAAGTATCCTGAAACAAAAACTACCAATAGTTAGTATGAGGACATTGTATAAATAAGATGTTTTTACTATTTTCCAAACTAATAACTTCTAAAAATTACTTTTTTAATGAACAATAATTTTTTTAAATGACATTCACCCTCCCATCTTCCTTCTTTTCCTTATTTTTTAAAGATTTCAGTTGGCTTTATTATGATTTTATGATTGGGAAACACTTTATTCCATAAAATAGAATAAATGTTCCCTCATCTCCCTTTAAATGGCCAGGTCTGCACGAATAAAGATATTGGTCTAGGCCATCTCCTTCCCTTTGTGCAAGCACATTAGGCAGGTGATCAATTTCTATTCCTTCCACTATCATAGACCATTTAAATCACTCTCTTCTGCCAAAAGAGGCTCTATGGCCATGAAAATTCATTCTAGATTTCCACTTCATTATATGTATGTCATAGCCAGAAAACCTTGCCTTTCATTAAAATAAAAATGCCTATAAACATAAAACTTAAGTGATTACTTTCAACATCCAGAGGAAATGTCTCATCTTCATTGTAAGATCATGGGGAGGAGCTACATGAGGTCTGCAGTTAGTGAGATAAATCTCCCAGCACTTATCAATATAACTCATTGAATAAAGCGTCTTCTGTTGCTCTCGGAATAAATGGCCTAAAAATATAACATTCATAAAATGATTATAAATTTATGCTTTTATAAAATTCTGATAAATATAATCCTATTGTTTTTATATTTACCTTTTACCTGGCAGGCATTTGGAAGAATGTTCTCAGTCATCAATTTTGTAAAACACAAAAAAAGCGATGGGCTTCTATTTCTGTGATTAAAGAGATATCATAATTATCCCTCTCTCCAGGAGTTGGAATTTAATTCCCCTCTCCTTGAGTGTGGGCTAAACTTAACAATTGCTTCTAACAAATAGAGTACCCAAAGAGAAAAAAAAAGTCAGATTACAGTAAAAAAAACCTGACTGACACCACTCTAGCCAAGTGACCAAGTTTAACATCACTAGTAATAAGACAAAGCAAAATCAGGCGCTCCACACAAGATGATGAGAAGGGCAGGTCATTTCCATAGCATTCTTCCCCCAAATCCATAACCTTAATGTCATCATGAGAAAACACCAGCAAGATCCTGGGACATTTGACAAAATAATGGGCCAGTATTTTTTAAAGTGTCAAACTCATAAATGATTTAAAAAAAAATGTCTGAGAAACTATCACAGATTAGAGGAGACTGAGATGATACGACAGTAAAATGCTGGGTAGGCTCCCGGGTGGGATCTGGGAACAGGAACGGACATCAGTAGAAAGACTAGGGAAATCCTCAATCTGCCATTTAATCAGTGCTGTGATACAGTGTTCACGCTTTCCTTTTTTTTTTTTTTTTTGAGACAGTCTCACTTTGTTGTCCTGGGTATAGTGCTGTGGCATCATAGCTCACAGCAACCTTAAACTCTTGGGCTCAAGCAATCTTTTAGTTTCAGCCTCCCAAGTAGCTGGGACTACAGGCACTGACCACAGCCTCCGGCTATTTTTTAGAGATGGTGTCTCGCTCTAGCTCAGGCTGGTCTCAAACTTCTGAGCTCAGGCAATTCATCTGCCTCAACCTCCCAAACTGCTAGGATTGTAGGCATGAGCCACTGCACCGGGTTGCTCTTTACTTTTGATAAACATGCAATGGTTATGTAAGACGTTAACATTTGGGGAAGCTGGGTAAAGGGTATGTAAGTACTAACTCTAAACCAACTTGGTAACACTTCTGTAAATCTAAAAAAAAATTTTTTTAAACACAATATTATTTTTTCTCTAAGCCAAACAGGAAATTCTGACCTAAAAAGAGTAGATTTGTTTCTGAATTAAATCCCAAGTTATCTGCAATATTAAAATGACTCAGATATGAAGCATTTTCAAGGCTAGGGGCAGTGCCTGTGACTCAAGGAGGAGGGTGCCAGCCCCATATACTGGGGGTGGCAGGTACAAACCCAGCCCTGGTCAAAAACTATAAAAAAAAGAAAATTTCTTTCATTTTCAAGGCTCAATATGGTGGCTCACACCTGTAATCCTAGCAGTTTGGAAGGCAATGGTGGGAAGATCCCTTGAGCTCAGGAGTGACCAGCCTAGCAAACCTGAGACCCTGTCTCTACTAACAATAGAAAAATTAGCTGGGTTTTGTGGTGGGCTCCTGAAGTCCCAGATACTCAGGAGGCTGAAGTAAGAGGATCACTTGAGACCAGAAGTTTGAAGTTGCTGTAAGCTAGATTGATGCCATGCACGCTAGCCTGGAGCAACAGAGTGAGACTGTCTCAAAAACAAACAAACAAACAAATAAAAAAACTGAGGTGTTTTCAAAGTTTTAATCCAGTATCTCATAGCTTGGTGGTTAACATTTGTGGAAATTTTTAGTCTTTCATATCAAGAGTTTTGTAAAAAAACAAAACAAAACAAAAAACAATGACTATTAAAGAAAAGAGGACAACATTATAACTCCAATACAGATTACCTCTGCCCTTGTCTCCTTATTTACTGGTAGTACTTACTGGAATTCTTTGTGGTGAATGTGGTAAGCCAACTGCAGGAGATAATTCAAAAATGTTCTCAGAAGTATTGTTGTAAATGGAGAATGAATGTCTTCAACTGGCATGTCATTACTGACTAAAATAAGAAAATTGGAGAGGATGCCAAATATTTTCTAGAGGCTTCTATTTTATTTGTGCCTGGTATATAATTCAAAGACTTATATATTTGTTCAAAGACTTTCTTTGTTCCTGGTATATAATTCAAAGTACTTACTTCCTAGAGAATACTCTAAATATATAAACATCCAACTAAAAATTAAGTACCACATCAAAGATCTCTATCTGTTTACTTTCCAAGAAACTTATACCTTGCCCCAATGTTTATGAGTAGTCTGAGCTACCATTTGATTAAGGCTACCTAAAATCTTTTCTAGACTATTCCAAGCCCTTGCTGATCCTCCCTCCTTCTGATCTGACAATCTTAGTGCTTTTTTTTTTTTTTTAACTGTAGATGGGGGTGGGAAGAGATAGACAAACTTTCCTATAAAGGGCCAGATGTTGGGTGGCAACTGTGGCTCAAGGAGTAGGGTGCCAGCCCCATATACCAGAGGTGGCAGGTTCAAGCCTGGCCATAGCCAAAAAAGCACACACAAAAAGGGCCAGATGTTAACTATATAAGGCTTGGTGGTCCACAGTCTCTGTCACACTCACTCAGCCTTGGTGTTGAAAATCAAAAGCAGGCACAGACAATACATAACAAACAGACACATGTGTGTCCAGGAAGCCTTTGTTTATAAACAGGGTTATATTAGGCTAGTATTGGCCCACAGGCTATACCTTGATGATCCCTGCTATAGATGGTCTTGAACTGTTGTTGTTGCTTCACAAGACTGTCTCTTTAAGTACAATGTAAGACCTTGAGAACAAGACTATATGCTAATTTTTGAATACTTCCCCCAACATTTGCCTTCCCTAGTCCTTCAATATTTCTTTACCAGTTTCCAGGTGATACTATGTTATACTGTCTTTTAAACCAAAAGATGTGAAGGAGCTAGAATACTCACTACTTAATAGCCTGTCCATATCAGCAAGAGTTATTTTGTGGTGATGAAATTTGCAATCTTTTAGAAATCTCCAGAAGTGAAGCTTTGTCATCAGAAAGGTATTATCCAGAGAGTGATCACATCCTAGGCTGCTATAAAAGCTATAGATTCTTCTTAATTCTGAAATATTTCTTAAAACAGCATATTCTGCCTGAAAAGAAGAAAGATATGCATATCTTAATCCTGCCTAATAAGAACAAAAGTCAAAGACACACCACTTGTTTATTAAATGAGAAAACACGTGTAAAGTAATGGCATTTAACTCTCACCCCTGTAAGAGCTCAACAGATGTTTCCTTCTGCCCAGCCAGGTAGACTTTAGGCTAGATTTGGTCCTGGGGTGGCCAGGGTGGGGTGTTCCCAGAATGCTGGTAGGGCTGCATGCCCTAGAGTGAGGCTGTCTCTCTCTGCCCCAGTCCCTCATGTGCAAAGTGGGGCAACCACAGTACCCGACCCAGAGGCTGCTGAAAGGATTCAGTGGTTCTAAATTAAAGGCATTTAGGACCATGCTTAGAGCAAAGCCCTAGCAATACTCACGCTAGCTATTATTACCATGTGAGTTCATGGTGAGGAGGGGAACTGATGGTGATGGGCTGGACAGACGTGTTGATGCCAGATTATCACAAGCCCTGTATACCCTTTGGGTATATGGAAGTGACAGCAAAAGCAACCATTTGGATGAGAAGGGAGATCTCAAATGCTTGGAGGACCACTGCATCCTTGCTTGAGCTTGTTCTGGCTAAAACTAGAATAATCCAGGACCCCTGCTCAAAAAAGACCTCCGTATTTTGTCAAAATGATGCTAATAACAGGTAATAAACACAAATAATCATGAGAAAACATCAAATAAATCCAAATTGAAGGACATTCTACAAAATAGCTGACCAGTGCGCTTCAAAAGTCTGGGGTCATGAAAGACAGTGACAGGCAGAGAAGCTGTTCCAGGTGGGAGGAGATAGACACTAAAGGCAGAGTAGAAACCTAGAACAGAGAGGGGCATTAGGAGAAAAAGTGGCCAGATTCAAGAAGTCTATGGTTTGGTTACTAGTGTACCAATGTTAATTGCTCCAGTTTGGTATTAACATTAGACGAAGCTAGGTGAAAGGCAACTGGCAACTGTATGATTTCTGGAATTCTTCTGTAAGTCTGAGATCATCTCAAAATAAAAAGCTAAAAAAAACTCTACATTTGTTAACTAAATTGCTATATGTCGGGCAGATGTAGTGGCTTACACCTATAATCCTAGGACTCTGAGAGGCTGAAGTGGAAGGATTACTTCAGCTCAGGAATTCAAAACCAGCCAGAGCAAGAGCAAGACCCCTTCTCTACCACTATATATACTAGCCAGGCATTATGGTGGGGGGGCCACCTGTAGTCCCAGCTACTCCAGTAGGCTGAGGCAGGAGCATTACTTGAACCCAGGAGTTTGAGGTTACTGTGAATTAGGGTGACGCCATGGCACTCCAGTCTAGGGTAATAAAGTGAGATTCTGTCTCAAATAAGTTACCACATTTCCATATTATAAAATATTGTATAGTAATTTTTTTTTCTTTTTGAGACAGAGTCTCAGTCTGTCACCCTGCAGTTGAGTACCATGGCATCATAGCTCACAGCAACCTCAAACTCCTGAGCTCAAGCAATCCTCTTGGCTCAGCCTCCCAAGTAGCTGGGATTACAGGCTGTACAGTCATTTTAAATGTTTAAAAGTATTCCTAAAATGTGGAATTACAGGATTCTTTCACTTTCTGTGTCACATATTTCTATAATGTTTGAATTTTTTGTAAGAGCATGTGTTACTTTTGTAATATCAGTCAAGTATATTTTCATAAGACTCACATGTTTTAACACAGAAAGAACTCCAAACTAGAAAATGAAAGATATATATACATAATCTCTGGGAGTTGAGGAGAAACAATAGAAACAATATGATCTCTTCTTTTGGTAAATCAATATTTAGTTAATTCATCTAAAATTACATTGTAGGAGAATATTTAATGGCACCCAATAGCCATCATTAAATATTACATGAAAATAGAGATTATGTGAGTAATGATCCCACTTCTATATCTTCCTGCAGAGTAAAAAAAAGACAATCACAAGGTTTAGTCTAGGTGAAGATTCTCTTTTATTTTTCCTCATCTATATTTTCTACAAGCATCTAATTACTTTTGTAATTAGAGAAAGTAATAAATATTCCTATTTTTAACAATAATCTTTCAGCAAAGGTGAGGGATAGTAAGAGCCTGAATCACAATGTTAGCCCAGAAGCAGGAAATGGGAGGACAGGGGTAAGGAGAGTCATCCCCTTTGAGGCCCAAAGAACTGGGAGGCCGTTGGCTTGGCGCCCCTATCAGTGAGTAGGGCGCCAGCCACATACAACCAAGGTGGCAGGTTCGAGCCGGGCCCGGGCCTGCTAAACAACAATGACAACTGCAACAAATAAATAGCAGGGTGTTGTGCCAGGTGCCTGTAGTCCCAGCTTCTTGGGAGGCTGAGGCAAGAGAATCACTTAAGCCTAAGAGTTTGAGAGTGCTGTGAGTTGTGATGCCTGGCACTCTACCGAGGGCAACATAATGAGACTCTGTCTCAAAAAAAAAAAAGAACTGGGGCCATCTTGGATCAGACGAGACCAGAGAGGACAGTGAGATAGTAACAAGGAAGAGAAAGGGGCAAAGGTGCCTTGTGGTTTCAGGTACCAGTGGCTGCGTTGCAGGAAAAATACCTTTAGCAAGTTTCACCAAAGAATCAATCATACCAACCCCCAAAGCAGAAGGTATGACACTAAAATGTAATTTGGTGGCTGTAAATTGCCAGATGTTAATCAAATGAGGTTTAAGTATACATAATTTTCTCTAAGATTATCTAAATTTCTAATGATTTCTAAGGATTTGACATTGTTTTGAACCCTAATAATCCATAATAAGGAAAAGCAAAATTAATGTTCTACAGAAAAAGGTGGCCATAGTTTGCCCTTCAGACTTTCTGAGTGTGAGGCTGGCATGTGGGTTCTGAGCATCCAGGTAATTCAGTCCTGGCTTCTGTTTTCTCATAATGCCTGCTCACTCCTAGGGTTGCCTTGCAAATTAAATGGGATAATATGTATATATAAAGCATCCGTCAGGCATAATAAAAGACACTCTGTACAATACATGGTAGCAGTCACCAGCTATATTTTCCCAGAATTAAATTCATTACAATAAAAAGGTCTTTACCTGCTTCTTTTCTTCTGGTTGGTTTGCCTTAGGGTACATGTCCAGCAACAAATTTAGATCCAGTTCAATGCTCGATCCTAACACAGAATGACTTTCACTGCCATCAAGCTTTCTGATAATTTCTAACAAATGAAGGCAAATACAGGTTATAATTATGAAAAGCAATGTTAAAATTTTTCATTTTTTATTTCAAATTAATATGAGGGCACAAATTTTTAGGTTACAGTGTTCTTACTTCCAAGGTAAAGTTCAAATTGTAGACGAGCCCTTCAGCCAAGGGGTGTGCTGGGAGGATTGCTTAAACCCAGGTTTAAAGGTTACAGTGAGCTATTGTGCATAGTAGGTGAGATCCTGCCAAATGCCTTCTCTCCTCCCTCCAATAGCCCCAATGCTAAAAATTTTCAGCATTATATCAAAATGATCTTCCATCCAAGTGTGATATGAGAATATTTAAAAAACCTACTAAGGAGCATTTGCTCACAGGAAAGCTTCTACTTTCTGAAGTATTAGAATTCTATTTGCAGAAGTATTTTCTTGAGTGACATCATAGATAAAAATGGATTAATTTGTTTTCAACTGACAGGTTAATACTACCTACCAGCACTTGTGGACCGGCTTTGCTGCTTTCCCCTGTAGGAAACTTCTGGGGCTGGTTCCGGGTAATTTGTGACTTCCCTTTCAAGTTCTGGAAACTCTGATATGTGATCGTTGGAAAACTGGCCTTCATACACACGCCCATTCTTAAAAGTCAGTCGGCCCTGCATATAGAAAAATAACTTTTTGCAATTTAGGAAGTTTTCTCAGAAAAACATTGGTAAATGTATATCAATAGCTTTTTCAAGGGTTTAGAGCTTTTCATTGGTTTGTTTTGAAAACATACACTCAGCCTGCCCATGATTGTCTCCTGGAGCCTCACATCATTGTACGAATCCTCTCTCCTCCTCCTCCTGCTTTTCGTCTTCCTCTCCTCTGCATCTGCCCACCACCTCTCCTCGATTTTAAGCACTACTAGGTCACAGATTGTGTCTTATTAAACTATGCTAGTGACCAGTGGGGTACCCGTCACACAACAGGGACTCTTCTATATTTGTCAGACCCAGGCCAGTCGTCAGTCACTGATTCAGAGGTGGACAGATGACCCAGTTCAGCTCCGTGCAACAAAAGACATTTGTAGAGAATTTCTGGGACAAAGGGTTTCTTTTCTTCTCCTAGTTAATGTGGCAGGTGAAAGTGAGACCTGGAACCACACCAGCCATCTTGCAACTATGGGAGATGGGCAATGCAAGGGCAACACTCACACAGTGGGAGATATGATGGCTAGATGGAAGAAAAATTCCCACATCACTGAATCAACGAATCAAACCTACCCGGCCGGTAGGTTTTGTTACTTGCAACCAAAACCACCCTCACACATAACACAAACTAATTAAATAACCACTAAATATGTAAGAAATCAGTGATAGGTTAGAAATATTTTAAAATTCATGTAATCACCTAAAGAAAACAGTAAGTTATCCTATACAAAAGGGATAATGCAACTTACTAGAGAATGACATACTGTATTTCAATTGCTTGACATGATCTTTAAAATGTAATCTATACTCACCATACCATGTTTTTTATTGGAAACCCATTCTCCCTCATACATGGCTCCACTGGCATAGTAAAACTTTCCATGTCCATGACGATGCCCATTTACAAACTCTCCTATGTATTCATTTCTCAAAGGATACTGGGAGTTGGGGATTCTCTTTAGAAACCATGTGTGTGTTCCAAAGCCATTCTGAAAAGCAGCAAATTGTCACCAGAAATGCTCAAAACAGTTCCCCTTTTTACCTAAATCTACCTAAAGTAGAATATAAACATAATTTGTAGATGCAAAGAATATAGATTTTGGAGTCATACAGACTTGCATTTCATTCTCAGTTCAAATATTTACTAACAAGTCTTCTGGTCTAAGGTGAATTATTTAAGCCCTCTAAGTTCTTCAGTTGTAAAAAGAAATAATACCTACCCTGAAGATTGAATGTAAAGATTGAAGATAACATGTATAATGGGCTTGGCTTAATAATGATTATTTTAATTATTATTTTAAATTTTCATTTTTTAATATAAAGATTTGTTAAAAGTACTCCCTACTCAATCCCACTTTCCAGAGGTAACCACTAAATAGGTTTAAGAATTCATCCGTATTTTCCCTAGGCACATACAATCAGATATATTAAATCAACATATTGGCTAGTTGAGGTAACTCATGCTTGTAATCCCTGCACTTTGGGAGACTGAGGCAGGAAGACTGCTTGAGGCTGTGAGTTTAAGATCAGCCTTGGCAACACAGCAAGGCCCTGTCTCGACAAAAATATTTTAAAACTAGCTGGTTGTGATGGGTGCACACCTATAGTCTTAGCTACTTGGGAGGCTGAGATGGGAGGATTGCTTGAACCCAGGATTAAAGGTTATAGTGAACTATGATCATGCCATTGCACTCCAGTCCCAATGACAGAGTAAGATCTTCTTTCAAATAAATAAATGATAAATAAATAAATCCTGTTGCAAATAAATAAACAAGCAAATAAACATTATAGGTATATATAAATACATATACAATTTTTTCAACAACACGATGATTCTATATATAACATAGAATGTTATTCCCCAAAAAATTGAAAGCAGGGACTCAAATGGGTATTTCTATACCATGTTCAGAGCAGCATTATTCACAACAGCCAGAAGGTAGAAGGAACCCAAGCATCCATGGACAGATGAATGGATAAACAAAATATGGATACAGAATATATCCATATTTGGATATAACTCATCCTTAAAATAGAAGGCTATACTGACACATGGATGGATCTTAAGGACATTTTGCTAAGTGAGATAAGCCAGTCACAAAAGAATAAATACTGTATGGTTCTACTTATATGAGGGATCTAGAGTAGTCAAACCCATAAAGACAGAAAGTAGAATGGTGGATGCCAGGGCCTAGGGGGTGGAGAGAAAGGAGGGGTTATTGTTTAATAGGTATAGAGTTTCAGTTTTACAAGATAGAGTTCCCTGGATAGACAGTGGCACAACAATATTACTGTAGATAATACCACTGAACTGTACCATTAAAAATGGCAAAGACCCACTGGCGCCTGTGGCTCAAAGGGGTAGGGCACTGGCCCCATATGCTAGAGGTGGCGGATTCAAACCCAGCCCTGGCCAAAAACTGCAAAAAAAAAGAAAGAAAGAAAAAATGGCTAAGACAGGTTCAGCACCCGTAGCTCAGTGGTTAGGTTGCTGGACACATACACTGGGGCTGGCAGGTTAGAACCCAGTCCAGGCCTGCTAAACAATGACAACTACAACAAAAAAAAAGCTGGGCTTTGTGGCAGGTGCCTGTAGTCCCAGCTACTTGGGAGGCTGAGGCAAGAGAATCACGTAAGCCCAAGAATTTGAGCTTGCTATGAGCTGTGATACTACAGCACTCTACTGAGGGTGACATAGTGAGACTCTGTCTCAAAATAGCTAAGACATTAAATTTTTCATTGTATATATTTTACCGCAATGAAAAGAAAAAAGAAAAAAAAGCTTAGTGGCTACATTCATATGAGACAAAGTAGACTTCAGAAAAATGAAAATTACCAAGGTTAAAGGGAAATATTATATAATGATAAAGAGATAATTCACATTATCTTGAGATAAGATATCTTATCATAAGACACAAAAATCCTAAATGTATATGCACCTAACAACAAAACATCAAAATATATGTAGCAAACTAATAAATCAGAAAGGAAAAGAGACAAATCTACAATTATACATGGGCACTCTTCTCTCAGAAATTGATAGAACAGGCCGGGCATGGTGGCTCACGCCTGTAATCCTAGCACTCTGGGAGGCCAAGGCAGGTAGATTGTCTGACCTTACAGGTTTGAGACCAACCTGAGCTAGAGCAAGATCCCATCTCTAAAAAATAACCAGGTATTGTGGTGGGCATCTCTAGTCCTAGCTATTTGGGAGGCTGAGGCAAGAGAATCACTTGAGCCCAAGAGTTTGAGTGAGACCACAGCACTCTACTGAGGGTGACAAAGTGAGACTATCTCAAAAAAAAAAAAAAAAAAAGAAGAAGAAGAAGAAGAAGAAAGAAAGAAAAAGAAAAATGATAGTGTTGAATGCTTATATTTACAAAGAAGAAATATATCAAATCAATAAAGTTTCTATCTTATAAATCTAGGATAAGAAAAGAAAATTAAACTCATAACATGCAGAAAGAATGTAATAACAAAGAACAGATATCAGTTATACAGAAAATTTTTTAAATCAAAGAAAATAAATACAAACTGGCTCTTTGAGAAGATTAATGAAAGTGATACACTTCTAGCAAGAATGATGAAGAAAAAAGAAAAGAAACACAAATTGTTAATGTTAGGAGAAAGAGGGAACATTGTTATAGATTTTATATATGTTAAAAAAAAAAAAGAGAATGCTATAAACAACTTTATGCCAATAAATTTTATATCTATGAAGTGGACAAATTCTTCAAATAACATAAACTTTCAAATCTTAAGAAGAAATAGATAACCTGAATAGTTCATTATCCACTAAAAAAAATAGATTTATGGTTAATTCATAATTAATCACCCACTAAGACAACACCAGGTCCAGAAGACTTCCCTGGAACGTTAAACTAAACTGTTAAGGGTGAGAAAATAACGATTCTACAAAGTCTTCCAGAAAAGTAAAGAGAAGATAACATTTCCCAACTCATTTTATGAAGACAACATTGCTTTCATTATAAAATCTGACAAAAACATTATAAGGAGAGAATACTACAAATTAATATTCCTCATGAACACAGATACAAAATTTCTCAACAAAATACGAAGTTGAATTCCACAAGATACAAAAAGGATAATGATATCATGACCAAACATTCCCAGGAATGTGAGGTTGGTTCAACAATTGAAAATCAACGTTTTATGCTGGGCACAGTGGCTCACAGTTGTAATCCTAGCATTCTTGGGAGGACTGCTTGAACTTGAGTTCAAAACCAGCCTAAGCAAGAGTGAGACCCCTACCTCTACTAAAACTAGAAAAATTAGCCAAGTATTGTGGCAGGCACCTGTAGTCCCAGCTACTTGGGAGGCTGAGCCAGGAGATTTGCCAATATTTGAGGTTGCTATGAGCTAGGCTGATACCACAGCACTCTTGCCTGGGCAACAGAGTGATGTCTCAAAAGAGGAAAGGGGAGGGGAGGGGAGGGAAAAAGAAAATCAATGT